TATTTAATAATAATTTGGATATTTGCAAAACGTGAATGATTTGACTTTAACGATAAAAAGGTCAGAAAACTTTTAATCGTGAATCATTCCCGTTATAGATAATTTAAAATATTGGAAAATAAAAGTTTGTTTTAAAAATATATATATATATTTATTTCTAATATAAAGGTTTATTTTATATGCACAATATGTTTATATATTATCAATTATAATACAGTATTCATCAATTGGTACCTCATCGATGTTCTCACATTTTGTTTTGGAAAAATATTTTTGCTATTACTAGATTAGTAATTGCAATTATAATTTTTTTAATTAATTTGAAATGTACTAATAGATAAAAAATTAATATTAGTATTGTTTTTAAATAAATATTGAACATTCTATCATAAAAAATAAATGTCTAAAGGTATAAACTCTTATCACACATTTTAATCTAAACAAAATAATAAGTATAATTTGACATTGTATTCATCTAAAGGTTAAAATTCAATAAATAAACCTATAAAATATACATCCTTAGATGCTACTACCGATAAAAATATATAATTTATTATAAATGACAGTTTTTAAAATTCATTGAACTCTGTGATTTTAATCTTTTTTCTTAGATTAAACCATTGTAAAAATAACAATAGAGAATTTAGAAGAACTATCTTGAATACTTTGGAACGTTATAAATCTTCAATAAACACTCGTATATATATAAAAAAAAAAAAAACTATAGATACTTGGATTGAATAAAATTATAAACATTTTTTGAACATAGCTTATTTTTTTGATCATAAATCAAAATATATCTAAAAAAATATCGATTAAATATTTATTTTTTTTTTGCCATTAAATATATAAATATGAAATTTGCTTAATATGTTTTGACAAAATGTATAAAATATGTTAGTGACATTATTCATGTATCACATTAAAACCCATTATGTGAGTTTATCTATACTTAAACAATTACATCATTAAATATCATTGTACAATACAATTCAATGTTTCTATCACCATAGGGATATTTTCTATGACAGCATTGCCAAATAATCTTGGAAAATATTCCAAAAATCTGATGTAGGTAAACAATAAAAGAATAAAATCCAATGAATTAACTGCGTATGATATATTCAGTATTCCTCACGTGTCAGACTGTATCAGCTATTAGAGTTTAAATTTCATTTTCGACTACGTTTAAAAGAAAAACGAACTTTTTACTGTTGAGACTTTTCCTTTCCGTCTTGGCATCCACCAAATAATAAAATGAAAATAATTATAAAAACATCTTTACTCTCGCACACACACAAACATACATATAATAATATGCCTACGCAAACCATGAAATGACGATCATTTTCATTACGACGGAGAAAAAAAAAACCGTATAAAAGATGCCGTATAGAACGTTCCAGATCGAGAGCCCCGTGCGTACGACTAGATAGAGTGGAATGCCGGAATCCGTTATTTCGTTCGTGTCAACGACCGTGGTTCAACTTTATGTTCCTAACCATGGCCACAGCTGCCGCCGCCGCAGTCGTTATTATATATTATTATACTACGCTGCTGTCGTATAATAATCGTCGAGGTTACAATGACTTCGCGCGTCAGTCGTTTGCCCTAACGTAAGCGACTTGATTGCTTTTAAATAAGTGGCTTAATATCTTCCACGGACGTCAACTAAGATTCTAAACCACATCTCGGCATCACTACAATTACTAACCTGTAGGACAGAAGACTCTTGTAGCATTTGCGTATTTGTATTGCGCAATCGCAAAAATAGCAGAATACGGAACAAATACGGTATATGCTTTTACAAAGCTAGTCTTGACATTTTATTTCGTATATAAATGCATATTTCTTCTATGTATAAAATAATTATTATTTCTATATTATTATTATTTTATATATATATATATATATATATATCCTATATTTTAAATAGTTTATCATTTCATCACTACTTTTCTGCCGACGTTCTTATTTTATCGAGTGTACGACCAAAATATTGTTGAATTAAAAATAATTTTAATTGTTGACCATATATAATATGATTGTTGATTTTTCGCAGATGCTAATATTTCATAGTAATACGTCTCCAGGATAGACGATTAGATTAATTTTATTTAAATAAACACGTAACTTACATTACACATTTTCCGATAGGACATTAACGATCCCATAAACGATACCAAAATATTTCATTGCATTGACTTTTTGTCAACGTTCGTAAATAATTTAATATTAAAGTAATTTAGCTTTAGTTCTGCTGTCTACGTATGTGCGTCTTTATGTACTGTTTCAACATTAAAATGTCTAAAGATAAGCAGTTTTTTAACAGACTGTAAGAATCGTGATGTGAAAGTTGGATGTAAAAAAACGAATTAATGTTACGCAATATTTAAATGATTCATATATTTTGTAAATCAAAAAAAAAATAAAAGAGCATATATTTAATGCATTTTATAGGGGTTTCGTATTTCGCTTGCATATTTGGTGTTTTTTTAGAGTTACAAGTCCTCCACCCTACTCATCTGCAAATCCATCATCATAACGCAATACAATGGTGTGTAATTTTATGCAAATCATCGTGTTCAGACTGTTATTTATATCGATAAAACTGAAAGGCCAAAGGTTTGGGTTCGGCTGTCTGATCGATTCGTACGATCTCTAAATTAAAAAAAAAAAAAAAAAACTATCGTCACCCTTAACAATGCCTGGCCGATTAAAAATTCAAACATCAACGAGTCGAATCCAATGTATCACAGAATCAATCGCATCCGCATGCTACTACTGGACAAACACCTGCTCCTGAGGATAGGTGTAGGAACACCCTACGGGTGGTACAACTCGTTTTCGTTTTATGGTCTCTCTGAAATTAGACACTAGCTCGTACATGCATAACATGTACGGTACAAATATACATTTGTACATTCGTATTATAACAATAACATATGTTGTATACATGCACGGGTATACGTATATATTTTGTACGCGCACAAAACTGCACGTAAGATTCGTATCTATGTATTACTCGTGTTATACAGGTACGAGTGCATTCAAGTGTACGCATTTACGTTCGATGAGCGTTTGATGCCGAACAAATCTGCACACCTGTCGGACGCGGACGGTTAACCGGTGCAACAGATTCTCACGACCGCCTGTGACCGTTGCGGGACGGCCTGTATTTTCCGATCGTACCGAAGCGGTCCGACCAATACTCTGATCTGTACTCAGCAGCGGTGATCTCACGGGAAAACGGAAAACCCAAGGTTTTTATCGCGGAGCGTCCCTTCCAGCGTTCGGGTGATTTCTTCGCAAACGTTTCCCGTGACGTCAGTTGACTCTTTGATCCACTTTCTGATCCGCCGCCGGTGATGCGAATTGCGCATGCGCGTCACGGCTAGGTCAACGGCCGCCAATGACCAAGTTCATCCTCTCACTAATCGTGTGTGTGTGTGTGTGTGTGTGTGTGTGTTACGGTATACTGTTTTCTTTTAACTTTTACCTGGACATTGCAAAACCACCGCACCGTGGTGTTGTACATAATGTACTGCATCTGTACGTACCCGCTTGGCTATTAACAATAATGGTCGTTTCAAGTACAACGCACCGTACCTACATGCGTCGTGAAATAAATAAAATATTTAATAGGCAATAATTAGGGTCCCAAATGGTCATCCGATGCGGTGTTCACTAACCACCGTTAAAGTCACTGGAATGAAAATACATCGTCATCGGATTCTACCGAGATCTAATACATATTATACATATATAGTCTATTGGTTTCAGTTGAATAATATGCGCCGTAGAGAAACGCTGATGATGTAAATGCGTAGCACTAATATTTTTATGACCCATTTATCGAACCCATTTCTTAGGGCTTCGTTTGCTGCACAGAAAAGACGTTTTCTGGAATTGAAGACCCGTTGTATAATAGCCAAAAGGAAGAAAACCCGATCATATTCGCTGTGTGGTCATTGGAACGGTCAATGGCTCGCCGGCGAATATAGTTTACTGGAGCGATGGCCGGCAAACCGGTAACAGGTCGTTGAACTCTCTGAGAATATGTCTATTGCAATTAAAAGAAGATGCTAGAAAACTGCCTATGTATCAAACAACTTAGCATTTCTAAAACTATTTTGTCTTGGCTCGAGAAAAATCTGAAAAATCAAAAACAAAGACGCTCGTTGTGATTTTCGATAGTTTTGCACTAGAAGCCATTGACCTTGTAATGGATTTTTCGAACTGTATAATTCGTGAGTACTATCAATATTATAGTATGGTCGTTGGACGTATAATAAAATTACTTTTTCGGTGTGAGGTTTTAAAGGGGAAAAAACCGGATTTTTCTTTGGGCAAATATTTTTATTAACTTGTTCCACTCGAGAGGAAGAGTATAATTTCATCTTAAACCAGTTTGGATCTGGTTTTGGCGAACAACGAAAAATATATATGTACAACGAAAATATTGTATACTTTTATCGTATAATTTTTAATTACCATTAAAATAATCGTACCTATACAATGATCGATGACACTCGTCGAAGGCGATTTTATTCAATTAAGCGTGGAAATATCATTGGTTTTTGCAAAGCAGTCCATATTATCGCACTCCATATACTATTGTTGCAATTCAGATATCGAAAAAAGAACCGAATAATCTCACGGTTTCTCACGGTCATCCCCTTGGACACGTCAAAGAAATCACAGACACTTTGTGCGACAGTAGAGGGTTGTAACAACCGGTGCAGTACCGTTAAATAATATAATAATAAAGAGAATAGCGAAGGAGGAAGGCTGGATAGATGTATATACAATGTATGTAACCCCACTACTGTAAACTGCGACGGCCCCGACTACCTGTGGCGTTTACTTTCAGAGTTCATCGACCGTTCGGCCTGCGCCGTGAGCTCGAGAACCGGTCGCGTTCGGTTGGAAGGAGATACCGTTTCTTCCACCAGAGGTCGGTTCGTTTTGAAGGTTAAGTTTAAGGAAGTGCTTTGATCCACAGTGTCAGCGCAGACAGGTGACCGTGCGAGTCTTGTCGCCGATCGGTTGCATTTTTATACTCCGCATTTGTTATTAAAAGACGTTTACATATTATAATTATTATATTTTTATATTTTGTTTATAATATATTTAATTTGATCGTAAACAACAATTTTTTATTTTATAAAATCGTGAAATATTCATTTGAGTGCATTTTTTTGTTGGATATAATTCGAAATGATCTAATAATCAACATAGAACGCGCTTATAGGATAATAATCAATACGAACAATAATTGAGTGAGTACTTGCATATTTTATTCGAATAATTTTACTATTATCAACCATAACATTTATAATGTAACTAACATAGTAATAATTTTCCGTATTATACACACATAAGTTAATTTTTGTTTATTCTTTTGAGCTGTAGTTGATTAAAATAATATATGATTGAAGTGGATGGTAATTTAATTAAAATGAATGGTTAAACTGACATTTCATAAGATATGATAAACACTGGTCTGTAACTGATAATGATTTGCAACGAATTAAGTATTTATGATTTTATTATACTCGTAATAACAAAAATTATTATTTGAAATGACATTTTTATCGTCAGAAATCAATTATTTTAATCTTTAATAATGATTTTGAGTCCTTAAATTTACTTTAGAAAATTGTAATAAAAGTAATATTTTATAAAATCCATTTGCAATGTAAAATAAATTTCAGTTAGATTTTGAATTTCGAAAGGATCTAATTTAGACCGGTTGAGATTTTTTTTCTCGGTAACCATGAAACGTTTTAAAGGTGTCGATAGGACGGAGAACGATTTTCGCGTGTATTAAACCCACGCAAACAACGAACGCAATAATGAAACGTTCGCATATGATACATTGTTGTATAGGGATAAATATTGCGTCGTTCAGAAATCGGTGATCGTGTCACGTTGGGTCGAACCGGCCGGCCGGTAAGACGGCCGTGAAATATACGCAACCTATCGGAGTGGGAGAGGGAGCTTTTTGTTGTTTTACGGTCGCTCAACACAGCCTCGTGTCATCGTACTATTCGCTACATTGCAGCAGGTTGCTGCAGGATTAATAACACATTAGTTCATTATATGTCTACAATAATGGTTTTTGTAAGGATTATTGGATCACAACAAAGAACTACAATAAACACCAATAAGATGTAATGTTTAGCTATACTCTTCACCAAAAGGTAGAATCTTTTTTTTTTTTTTCTTTTTTAAAGAGTAAAAGTAATGATAAACTATTATGCGTCCACACACGTAATATTGCGTGTACATCATTTCGATAAGGTCATCATCGGTTGATTGTCCGCGGTACGTAGGTACGCGCGTAGATCAAAATCGCGCACCGCGGACACCGTCATGACCTCGCGGTACACGACCGGGCCGGAACCATGGGCGGGGTATCACAAAAGAACCATCGTTGCCGCCTCCACGCGATCCACGATCAACAGGTCGTTATCTCATCCATTCATTAGCCGGTGATTTTCGCCGTATCCCAATATAGCCGCGGCCGCGTGAGAATGACGCGCGCGCGCTCGCTGAAGCCATTGACCGGTGTATTGTCCTCGTGCGGGCGTGCGGGGGCGACGGGGGAGGGGCCCAGGGAACAGGTGATGGGGAAGGGGAGTTGCACTACCCCTCCGGGCCGCGCGACCTTGCCGTCCGCAACGCTCGCCCCTCCAAACGTCGCGCCGACGGCGTGTTCGACCGTCGCCCGGGCAGGTCGGTGAACTCTGCGCGACGCGCAACCAGACCAACGTCCCGCCGCCGTCACCGCCTTCCCCACCTGGTGTAACCGTGGCCTTTCGCCCGTGAAAAAAATCGTAAATAGGTACAATATATATATTTATACATATGTGTATTCGCGCGAACAGAGGAAGGAAAAAAAAAAACTCGACTTTACTCGACCGCGAGATAATATTATACGCAGGGGAACCTCGGCCGCCGACGTGTGTCGTTTACCCCGTTCGGCGGTACACATCCATCCATCATCGTACGCACTGACACGAACAAGCACACGAAACCACCTGTGCCAAAGACGCGAGTCCTTTTGTTTGCTCGTCGTCACCTCATCCCGTCCTCGAACGACTTCGGCGCAGTAAAATATTAATACGTACACGCATACATGTATATATACATTTACTTTGTACCCGTACGGTAACGACGATGACGACACACCCGTCGAAGTTCTTACGTACGTGAGCGTTTGGCAGGACAATGTTGTGTTCGGGGCCGCGACTGCCGCGTGACCTCGTCGTACGTTTTGTACGTCGTCGCGTCCCACGTATATTGTAATTATCACTCGTTCGTGTTTGTTTACATCTTCGTCGTTCTCGGGCGAACGTGCGCGTTGCTCAAGAAGAAACGCGTTGTTGACGGTTGTTCTCGAACGATGATTATTATTATTATTATTATTATTGAATATAGTTTTGTTATCGTCTGATACGCGCATGGGTATATCGCGTGTAATGTGCATAGCTGTACGTGCACGTACGCGAAACGGTATGGAAGCTCTGCATCGCGAACGTCATTGATCGTAAATTGTTTTTCTATTTTTTTTTTTTTTTCTTCTTGAGTCGCTGCCACACGGTTTTTGCGCTGAAATTCTCCGCGACTAGTATATACGCGCCGAGAACCGGAGTTGAGACGCGCGTGAATCGGTGCCAAAACGATACATCGTAATAATCATAAAATCGGCATAATTAATCGGCGCGAGAACGATGATGTTTACGGAGCCGTTGGAGTGCGCGGTGTGTGATATGCGACGTGCGGGCTACGAGATTTCTGCGATAAACTACGATTTGCGCGGCGCAACGACGGAGGACACGGAAACATATTGATGTAACGCGTTATCGGGCGTGGCGCTTAAGAGATCGCGCGCCAGAAGTACTGCGATGCCGCGTGCAAAGAGCCGAACGTTCACTCCGTGAACGTGGTCCGTGCCGCGGTGGATCCGTTGTGCGTTTTGGACGTCGCAAAATCGGGACGGGCCGCGCGGGTGCGTTGCACGTGCGTGACGAGAACGAACGGAGCGGCGACCGGTCGTGCACGCGCAGTTGAACCGTGCGCGTTGCGCGTTCGCGGAACGCCGTGAAAACGAGAGGAGAACGGAAGAAGAAGATTGGACACGGGCGCGCGGTGGCTGTGACGGCCGTGTGTCTTACGGGCCGCCGGACGAGATATTGCACGGTGCGACGAGATGACGTCGTCGGCCACCGAGTTCATTGGCCGGTTCGCGCGCCGACGATGGCACCCGGTCGAACGTACCCGGGGGCGCGTCCACGGACATCAGTGTAAATGTGTACGTTTATTACGCGTAGTGCGCGCGCGCGCGCGCGCGCGATCGTCCGCGTTTTGGGCGCGGAGCGAACCGACGAGGTTGTTGTCCGGCCGCTCATCGTCGGCCCAGGGGAAGCGAGACAGGTGTACAAACAACAGTGCACTATAATCGATTCGTGTTCCCGGAATCGCGAACGTTGTTATTATTATACTCTTCCCCTACCCCCCACCCCCCACCCACGGTTCGCCGACGCCGCACGGTCGCGCGAGATAAATCTTATCCCCTCCGGTCCGCCCCTCTCGCCGCCGCCGGCCACGAATATTTTTCGTGAGCGTTCGAGAGTCGGTGCGCGCGCCGCGTAAAAAGGGAACGCCTCGAGTGAGTTCTCGGTTAAAAATTTAATTGAACACGTTACGTGACGCGTTCGCGGAAAATAAAAACTCATGCCGGCCGAAACCGCCGCCGCTGCACCATCGGTCGCCGCCGGTCGTTGATCCTCGCGCGCGCGGCCGGTTAACGTGTGTTTTTTGGCGATTTTCGTAGGCATTTACGTTTCGTTTCCCACTCGTTTTTTCGCCTCTCCCGTTTCGACCGTTGCGCGTAATTTTTTCACCCGTACGCCTCGCACGCTTTGTTCGCTCACCCCGTGCGCACACGTCGTACGGAAATACATTCCCAGATGATATAATATCAGGCACGTACATCGATGTCGTTACGCCGACGTTGATTCATCGCCGGGTTGCGTTCGACGCGAAACGAACAACATTTATTTGAAAGTCTCGTGGGTGGCCAGACGCTGCTACTGACCTGACCTGTCACACGCGAATAGCGTCCCTAGAGTGCCGATGACCTGACGTGGTCGACGTGCGTACTCCTCTGCAACAGGTTAGTATACGCACCGTGCGTATTTGCTTTGCCCACTATTATATTACGTTATTATGTAGTTCCCGGTAACCGAACCTTTGTTGCGATCTATAACGGGAAGCCGCGGATATTTTCGGTATGGCGCAATGTGTCATGAAATCAAACAATATAGTTGTACGCGGTACGGTCAACACGTAACTTTCTTCAAACCCCCGTCCGCACAGCAGGTAGCCGTTATTATGTTTCGCTTCACCAACATTTTATTATCGTATTGAACATCACCTCAACTCTAATAACGAAATCATTTTCAATATAAAAGAAAGATCTTTATAAATCAATATAAATATACTTTTTTTTTTTTTACCACGGATGCACGGAGATATTTTATGTGAGCGCGTAGAAATAAAACGAAAATTTAAGGAAGTACAGTAAAACAAAATCGTACAAGTATGTATTTAATATGAATCGATTAAACGTTGATTTCGACATGTCTTTTTGTTCATACCAGAAGAAAACGTATAAATTATACATGTATGTACGTATGCGTGAACATGATATAATGGTGCAACATTGAATCATGTCGCACTAATTCGTGTACACACATCAGTACCTATTCACCGGACGGGCGTTAAAATAACAAACGTGACCTTCAGCATGTTTTTTCCTTCTAATTATGGCGTAGAAAAAAATGCGTTCCCAATTGGAACGGTTCATTAGATACGCACCATCTTCACGCGTAGGCCGGCCACCCCGCAGCGTAACCCACTGGCCTTCGACAAGGAACCTTGTCCTTCGAAGTACCGTTTCCCGGTTCGGTTGTAAGGGTAGTTATAACGGTACCGAAGGTCACACGGCAGTACACGGTATTGTGTTACATTGTACCACGGTATTATTTACGAGACGTTTCGCTGAAGCCGCAGTTTACTTGTCCGGGCGCGCACAATAAGACACCGCAACGGCCACAGCGATTTCTTAGTGCATGTGCGCGCGAGTGCGCGCGCGCGCGTGTGTGTGTACGTGTTTGTACGCAATATGTGCACGTATACGGGAACCAAGACTGCGGTGGAATAGAAAATTTGTCATCGGAGGGGAAAAAAATTGTGCGCTCAAAGCTTCGGT